ACGGCTATTGTCTCCCTAATATAGGAATATTCACGAGTCTTTAATTTTTATAGCTTTATCAGTAACATGAAACACAATGATCTAAACACGATGATCAATAACGATATAAATAAGAAGTATCTATTTGTCAAGTGACAATCTTTATCGAAAGAAAATGTTTAGGAAGATGATTGTAAACTTTCGTTTGAATTTCATATTCATAGCCAAAAATATATTCGTATCGGAAGAGTTTACAAAAGTTAGTACTTATGAGCTTAGTACTTTATGATAATTTTATTTTACTTATGAGTACTTATGAGTTAGTACTTTATAATAATTTTATATTTACATATTCGATATATTTTAGATATATCTTTTTTATAAGTACGCTATATATAATATATAAGTATATATATATATAGGTATGTATGTACTTTGATATATAATATAAAGTAGAATATAATTACTTATTACAATCGTAATTAATTAATTCTTATTTATATTTAATACGATAATTATTATTAATAATGTAATAATTATAATGAATATTGCATTATTATTACTTCTTTTTATTATACAATATTATTTACGATAAGAATGAATTTTTAAATAAATAATTAATATTATTAATAATTGTATTCTTTCAGAGACGCATTTCGAGATATACTTATAGAATTTTCTAAGAAGTTTCTAGAATACTTTTCAAATGAAACTAACCATATTGGATAAAAAAGATGATTCAAGAATAAAACTGGCTGAGTCGAAAATAACTTTCTATTTCGGTAGTGTCTGGTAAGTTCCTCTATTTATAGAATGGAGGGTGTATACAATAGGATGCTTTTGCTTCAATACATATAAATATAGTATAAATATTATCCCGAAAGGTATATTTATTGTTTATATAAAAATGTTGTATTGTGTCATTTCATATCTTTTAAAGAGGATAAAAATTTGACAAAATTTAAGTAAAATTTCTTATTACAAATACAATAAAATATTTATAATTAAAATATAATACAATGAAAATTTTTTGATTTAGCATGATATAATATTATGAAATATTTGTATATTAATATGAAAGTATATATAGAGAATTTTAATTCATAAAAAAATGTTGATATGAAATGATAAAATAGACAAAATTTTAAAAAACTCTCTACTTGTTACATACAATTTTAATATTATATTATGATATATATTCGTGTGATATATATATATATATATATGTTTGTGTGACATAATATAATATTATGAAACGTTTGTTGATATGAAGAGATAACATAGAAAAAATTTATTATAAAGTTTGCATTTACAATATTGAAAACAAATTATTATAACAAGATGTTAAAAAGAGTTATACCATTCATTAATCTGACAAAGTTAATTTTGTTAACGTACGTTAATTTAATCTTTTCATTTCTGAAATCGTTTTTATCTATAAGAATTCTCAATCGTCAACAATACAACGATAAGACAGAGTTTAGCGTCGAAGAAACATTTCTCTCTCTCTCTCTCTCTCTCTCTCTCTCTCTCTTTTTCTTCCTCTCTCTCTTTCTTCCTTTCTCTCTTTTACTTTAAACAAGCCAATAATATTCTAAGAAAAATCCGGAGATATGATAACTATGTCTTCCATGCTTCTTCCGGTATTTTGATTGTCTTCAGTTGGTCAAAAAATGTCCAAAACAAAACAATACCGTAAGAGTATAATAGTAAGTGTTAAGACAAAAAGAAAAAAGAATTCTTCTACACTATTGTACGACAATATTGTTATCTCGTTCAGTTAGAACCAGTCGTAGAATATAATCTTGTTAATATCCTGAGTAATACCCGCGTGCCTTCTCCTTAATGTAACAAGCGCCGCCCAGAAAACCTCATTAGTGATAATCTCGTTCTGTGATCTTAATAACGATAGAACGACGCCATTGTTCTTCGCATTTAAAACGATACACACGTGTTCCTAAATACTTACTTACTTAAGTAATATTTTTCTCTCTTCTATAATAGATAGATTTACGCATTAAAAAACTTTCGATCGTTTGAAATGTAAACTTTAAAAATTTGTATAGCTATAGATGATAAATAAATTACGAATTGTTTTACAAATTATATATCGTAAAACTAATAATTCGTAATAGTATTGTGAAATCGAAATGATTAATCGTACTATATATCATATATATAAAAAAAACACAAAGAAAGAAAAAAAATTAGAAAATCTTTATTGATTCTATAATCATCGGGAAGGAAATTTAAAGTCCGATCACAACCGGTATGAAATAACTCGTGTCATTGATCCTAAAATCATTACAATGATACTAATAAAAATCATAAATTATATTGTAGGACAATGATCGTTAACTATTCTCAAATAATAATTAATACATAACATATTATTGATTCTAAAACTATCATAGAATATTAAAGTCAATGCTTTTAATAAGCGTATTATTGATCCTAAAGCCATAATCAAGAATTATAGTAAAACTTACAGTTTCTACACGAGGTACAGTTTCTACACTATTACGAGGTCTATGATCATTGATTCTTTTATTATAAATAAAATGGCCTATAAAACGAATATTGTTTGTCTATATGAACAAGACAATAGACTATAAATTTGGTTAGTTAGTAATACTTGTCGAACTATATAAATGATTTCTTCGTGACAAGTATGGTCAAAATTCGGATAATCCTAGGAAAGCAAAGTTGGCCGCAAATAGGACCTCGTATACTTGCGAGGGGTTAATTACATTCTTGCAAGTCCGCACGAACGAGTGAAACCGCATCTGCTTCCTCGATTGCACTTTAGCAAACCACAGTGCAATAAACGGTAGCGCTGCGGGACCCCAACTCAGAGACCTTTAAAGCGCCCAGAAACGTTTTCGCACATATGCAGAAACTCTTTGAACGTTCTTTACCGTGGGATAACAGAATTTCTTTTTCCTTAAATTTTACGAAAATAACAGATAAGTTAAAGGACATCGAACGCTCTTAACCTTGATCTCTTTGTAAGATAATTTTAGTTAATATTATTTAGATATTATTTCATTTTCATTTTTAACGAATCTGTTATACCAATAACTAGATTTATACAAAATTTGAATGTATTCTGTTATGTGATCTTTTAATTAATATATGTTATGTGATCTTTTATTCGTCCGTTTATTTGTTTTTATTATTTTGCATTTTATTTTTTTAGATTGATTATTTATATAATTAATTAAAGAAAATAAAAAAAGTTGTCTTGGATTTTACTGTACAATTTTCTTTTCTTTTTATATTAATTTGTTAATATTTTTTTCTCCATAAATATATTATTTTCATCAAATTATTAAGATAAATATTAAGAGGATTTTTTTTTAATGAAATGAATTCTCGTGAAAAAATTTGTCTGAATTATTATTCATTTTGCAAGATAAACTTTGTAAAAGATCGAGAAATCTTTTCTGAAGAAAGAAAATTGAAAGATCGTAGAGTGTAGCGATAGTCGAGAAAAGTTGAAAGGAATTACCCAGCCGTTCGAAAGGGGTAGAGAGAGAGAGAGAGAGAGGGAGAGAGGCGCGAAGGAACGAAATCTCGCGGGGGTGGGGCGAACGAGGCACGATGCGGGAGAGCCCCACCCCCACCTGCTTTCCCAATGGGAAGCTCCGCCTCCAGGAGGCCGCGTGACGTCACGCGGACACTTGTTACGCCTTGCCGTTCGAACGTCGCTCTGCTCTGCTTGGATACTGTATGTATTATAAATCGCGTATAACACTTAAACGTCCATATTTAGCCTATCTCGAAAAATTATTTGTTCTGTCTCTTTTTTTATTTTTATTTATTTATTTATTTATTTATTTATTTATTTATTTATTTATTTATTTATTTATTTATATATTTATTTATTTATTTATTTATTTATTTTCCTATTTTTATTTTTATTCTTTTATTTTTTCTCTCGTTTTTTTTTCTTTTTTTTTTTTTTTTTTTTTTTTTTTTATTTAAAGCTTTACCTATCACATTTAATTATTCAAAATATATCGATTTATTCGTCGGATTAGAAGGAAGAAAAAAATATATAACATGAAAAATTCGTATCGTTTTGTAACGAGAAAGACTAATTAGTTTTTCTCGTTACCCCGACGACTTCTTCGAAATTTTAATGTTCTCCTTCGAAACCACACGAATAGCGATAAAACTTGGCCACCGCAAGAATCTTGTCTCAAGGGAAAGAGTACGATAACACATAGTTCTTGGACGATACCGTTCTTTTTTTTTTCTTTCCTTCTTTCTTTCCTTTTTCTTTTCTTTTCGTTCCTCTTATTAGTTCAAAACAGAATCTTGAAACGTATTTATGCGATCATATATACGTTTATCATAGACGTTAGGATTTAATTAGGATAAAATAACGAATTAATGGTAATATTTTTTGTAATTTATGAAGACTCGGTATATCAATAATATGAGTATTCGATCGAATCCCGGAAAAACTTGTAAGTAAACGTTTAAGAAAAGTATTGTTGCACGAATGACGCACCGGGAAATACCATGATATCTTTACGAGGATTCCCATTTGCATTTACATTTGCATTAAAAATTTACATTCAAGTGTTCTGCATTATCGTCAGTTCGATATAACTTATTTTTAATATCGTATCATCATATTCGATAAATCTCTAAATTTATCTCAGGATTCCGTTTAAGAAACTGAACAAAGAGATATCATCGAAGTTTCCGATTGCAGGCATTTAAATCTTGATAAATATGACCAAGTGAGAGATAGATAAAGAGAAAGAAGGAAAATTTATTGTTTAAAGAGAGGATCGGCTAAGAAGTCATTGTCGTCATTGTCGTCATTGTCGTCATTGTCGTCGTCGTCGTTGTCGTCGTCGTCGTCGTCGTCGTCGTCAATGGTGGTGATGGTGGTGGTGGTATTTGCGATCGTAGTGGGGAGATTGGTGAAGGAGCGAGAGCGTGTCCCGTGGTGAGCGCGAGTAGGGTGGGAGGTGGAGGTGGCGGAGGAGAGCTGCGGAGGTTATGCCGACCCGGGCCGCTTCCGCGGAACACGCGGCCCGCTGAGCCGCGGCATTACGTCGCGCACCGCCGACCGCGACTGACGTTCGCGCCAACTTCGCTCAAGTTGCGATCCGCTACTCATCTATGTCCTATCTCTTTATCAGAGCCATCATTTTCATCATTTATCATTATTGATCTGAGATGTGACGAAAAGGAAGAAACGAAAAAAAGAAGGGGGAAAACAAAAAAAAAAATAAAAAAAAAAAAAGAAAAGACAGGAGACCAGTGATAAAATTAATGATAATTCATAAGGAAACAATAAGTCAGTTAAATCATTGTAATTTATGGATTTAGGAAAACTTTCGAGTGTTCGGAGTGATATTGTGAAGGACTCCAGTGAGCCACGTGCTTTGTGATTCCTGCGCATTTTATTCTTTTTTTTTCTTTTATTTGTTTTCTTTCTTTCTTTCTTTCTATCTTTCTTTCTTTCTTTCTTTCTTTCTTTCTTTCTTTCTTTCTTTCCTTCTTTCTTTCTTTCTTTTTTCCTTTCTTCTTTTTATTTCCATTAGTGACTAACGATAACAGAAAGATCCAAGATACTTTAGTTATTGTTCGAGCTTTGATCAATAAGTGATTTAATCGCTTTATGAGAGAAAGAAGAAAGACGAGGTGAGATGGAACAAGGAGAGGTTTCTATTCGATTTTAAAAGATGAACCAGTGAATATAAAGGATGCGCTCGATCGAAGAAGACGAATGCGCGAGCGGAGGACAACGTGGAGGTACCTGTTGGTAGCAAAGTGGTGGTCGCTCGTCGACGGGTCGACTAGCTCGGCTCCGTCGGTAAGGTCCGCTTCAAGTAAAGGTCACGACGTCTCGCGCGGAGGGTACGTGTTTGGTGGGTGACGAGGAGCGGCTACTGGCCGATGGGATGCATCTACCGGTGGGTTCCGTGGGCTGCGGGGAGAATTACGGCACCGTCGGATCTCAGGAAGGCGCCGGCCCGTGCGGTCCCTCCCTGGCACCCCTCCAAGGGGTCAACACCAGGTACCACCAGGGTGAGGACGGCGAAAACGGCGGTGGTGCCGGCGAAATGAGCGAGGGTGCCGCCGTCGGCGAACTCTGGTGGACCGAGAGACTCGTCGGTGAGGCACAGGCTGAACATCCCGGCGAACTCGTTAGAACAGGTTCGTTAGTACGATCCATTTTCCTTCTTTGATATATTACGTGTACTTGTTTGGTTAAAAACACTGTGAAAATCGAAGAATATAACTTAATCGATTAATTGGATTTTTCGATAATCACTTTATTAGAGCCGATCTTTTATGAAGGAATCATTTGCATAAATGCATATTATTGCTTATCTTTCGTAGAAACATTTTTCTTTTTTTTCTTTTTTTTTTTTTTTTATACCATTCATATCTCTCTATGTTTTCAGGTTCGCCGTACTTCCTCTGCAGTCAATTGCCAACTCATTGGAGATCCAACAAGACCCTACCAGTGGCTTTTAAAGTTGTAGCCCTCGGCGAGGTCGGCGATGGAACCCTCGTTACTGTTCGCGCTGGTAACGATGAAAACTGTTGCGCAGAACTACGTAACTCGACTGCACTTATGAAGAATCAAGTCGCAAAATTCAACGATCTTAGGTTCGTCGGTAGAAGTGGAAGAGGTGAGCACGATTATATTGATGATTGTTACAAAGATAGAAAAAAAAAAACAAACAAACAAAGAAGAAAAAGGAAAAGACAAAAAGAAAACCGAACAAAAAAGTATATGTAAACAAAAAAAAAAAAAGAAAAAAAAAAGGTTGACACGATCTTTAGATATTATTTTTAAAGGTATAAATGACGCGGGACTTTTTCATTTCTATTTTCATCGGTAGAAAAGATTTGCAAATATCCGCGCGAAAGTAAAATGCGTCCGGGGGAAGGGAAAGTACGAGCTGGCCTGCAGTGATTTCGAACTGCCTAAAATCACGGTTATTGTGATCATTATCATTAACCACCCTCGGGTCTCCCGCCAGCCGCTCGGCAGCCCTGTGTTCGCGAGTTCCCGCTCCCGCCGCCCCCAGAGTCATTACTCGATGTCCGCCACGAGCCCCGGCCGAACGCACGAAACAACTGGCCGTTAATCAGAAATCATCGTCTGTCTGCTAGGGAGAGAGAGAGTAAAAGAGACAGAGAGACATCGACTCCCCAAAATCAACCAGATCTTTTGATCGACAGTTTCGAGTCATTTATTTCCCCAAAGCAGAAAGCGGACAGGGGAAATCGGAAATGCAACGAGATCACCGTGTCTCTCTCTTTCGCGATCATCAAAACGGTTAATAACGAAACCAAAACGATAAAAGGTACGATGTCAAGAGCAGTCATCCATCGAATTTATAACGAATATCGAAAACGTCCGACTTCGTTGCATCGACACGTTTTTCCGTTCAGTTTGTTTGTTTGTTTGTTCGTTCTTTTCCCCCGAACCCTTTCCCCCGCTCTCTTTTCTTTCTTTTACTTTTTCTTTTTTTTCTATATCTTTTCCTACTTCTTTTTTGTCACTTTGTTTTTTCCTTTTTCTTTCTTTCTTTCTTTCTTTCTTTCTTTCTTTCTTTCTTTCTTTCTTTCTTTCTTTTTTGTTTTTAGTTACATCGAAATTCGAATGTTCTATCGTCGTGTTTTAAGTAGCGACAATTATTTAGAGGACAGTCGGATAGATTTGTCAGGAGGTACAAATGCATTTTGCACCCTGCGCGCGTACCTACCATCGAGGGTCCGGTGTTTATGAATTAACGAGCTGTACTGCTCGTACGAGCCGTTCGTTGATGGCACCATCTATGTTTCATTTGATTTCATCATGAAACGTAGGGTCGACGATTTTCAACTATGTACTTTCTGCCTTTCTCTCTATCCATCTATCTTTATCTTCCTTTCGTCCTTTTTTCTCTCTCTCTCTCTCTCTCTCTCTCTTTCTCTCTCTCTCTCTCTCTCTCCAACATCGGGAACGAAATCAATTAGCGTGAAAGACACTTCTCTCGCCAAAATTCTTCAACCCCTTTGTATCAATTTTTTCTCCCAGTTTCTCTCTCTCTCCCCCCGCCTCCCTCCTCACCTTCCCTCTTTCCATATCCCAGCCACCCTCCCAGATAATCCGTAATACTCAATTTCGACGATTGACCAAACTGCCCACGGTGTATTCGTATCAGCCGCGACCAAATGGAACCTCCTATCATGGAGGTTTTGTTTCCGCGACTTATTAATTTGATTGAACCGCGTCGCGTATCGCTTCCATCGACGATAACGGATTCAAGAAATTTCTACGAGTACGTACTATTATATATATACGTATATATATATATATATATATATATATATATATATATATATATATACATATATATATATATGCGAATAGAAACATGGTTGATACTCTCGTCTCTCACTTCTTTCCTTTTCTTTTATTTTCGGATTCGTAGAGAAAAAATTTACCGGATATACTTAAGTACCTGCATATATAGGATGATACCAGGTTTTAAACTTTGTCAGTATATTCTATTGATTTGAATAAGAATGTTGAATGTTGCATAAACATAGGTTCTTTAAACTTTAACGAAAAAACTTTATTGAAAAATTACGACAAAAATAAGAATTACTTAGAGAATAATAACGGATAGCAATCTAACATGAAGTTACTAGGATACATTGTAGAAATAGATCAATAATATTTACTATTTAAGGTCGGTAAATATTTTGAAGATAATTTCTGTTATTACAATTAGTATGCTGTAAGATTTCCTATAATACTAATTTTTAAGATGTCAGAATTCTCTAAGTAATTCTTCTTTTTATCATAACTTTTTAATAAAGCTTAAAACATCATATGTTTATATAACATTTATTTTTTATTTTAACCAATAAAATATACTGACAAAGTTTGGCCGTTAAAATCTGGGACATCCTGTTTGTGTGTGTGTGTGTGTATACGTATTGTTGGACTAACTCTAGTAAATTTCTATCGAATTCGAATCGAATTCGTTAAATCAAAAAAAAAAAAAAGAAAAAATGGAAAGAGAGACAGAGAAAGAGAGAGAGAGAGAGAGAGAGAGAGAGAGAGAGAGAGAGAGAGAGAGAAAGAAAGAGAGAAAGAGAGAGAGCTAAGTACCTACTAAAGTTACAATTAGGCAGGTCTAAACGTGCCACGCTTCTACCTAGGGAACATCATCGAGGGTTTTGGAAAAGATAGAGAAATGAGACGAAGAGAGCCGATAGTAGCCGGATCAAAGAGGTCTGCGGAGACTAAAGCGGTCGTTCCATCATCGGGCGCGGACCTACCGGCCCGTGCCTATAATTAGTAATATACCGCAGTCTATATCGACACGGCTGAAATTACCAGCGATAGTAATTATTTGACAATTGCAGAGACATCCTGTTTCGAGACTCTCTCTCTCTCTCTCTACCTCTCTCTTTCTCCTTCTCCGTTCATTCCGCTACCCTTCATAGTCTCTCTCTACCTCCCTTTCTCTCTCTCTCTCTCTCTCTCTCTCTCTCTGGACCACTACTTCGTCCTTCTCCTCCTCCTCACCCAGAAGACCTCCTCCTCCACCTCCTCCTCCTCCTCCTCCTCTTCCTCCTCTTTCTCCTCCTCCTCTTGATGCTCATGTCCCCTCTGCCTCGTCGCCACGAGTATTAACGGACGGTTTCGAGTGGTTTCGGGTGGTTGTGTGGGCGGTTTGGGATGGCGCTCATCCTCGTTTCTCGCTATGTTACCAACACGCATATACAGAGAGACATTGTAATACACATACGTAGAAAAGACACATAGATATACATACTGTACGATACACTTGGATAGAAGCGTGCTGCGCTAGGAATAGAGAATCATCGCGTACGGGATAGAGAGAAGCGTGGTGCTACTCGCGTTATATAGGTGGCACATACGCGTGGCCCGGTTTTGTCCTACCGTCCGGTCTGCCCGTCCAGTCCGTTCATCCGTCCGTCTGTCCGTCTGCCTGACCATCCGTCTGTCCGACCATCCATCCGTCCGTTCGTTCGTTCGTCCATCCGTTCGTCCGTCCGTCCGTACGTCCATCCGTTCGTTCGTTCGTTCGTTCGTCGCTCGCGAATGCACAACCCGGCTCCTGTCTCTGCAGATGACCGTTCCCATCATCGAGTATTAACCGCAGCTTCGGGCACGAAGAGAGGGGGTTGGCAGTCGGCTGTGCGGCATTATTAGCCCCAAATGCGATGGACTCTAGCCGTTCTGATCGGAGGTAGGGTGAAAGGGGACGAGAGGGGGATGGGGGTGGTATGGCAGAGCTCGTAAAGCGACGATCACTTCGACTTGACTACGATTTTCTTCTTTTTCCCTTCGGCCAATCTTAGGGATTGTTCCTTGCAACATTTTTTCTGACAATTGTTAAGAACATGCCGAATGAATTCAATTTTGAATTCTGATTTGTCATAAATCAAAGTGCATAAGTCCTTCGGTTTATTAGATCTTTCAGCAGAATCTTTCATGATGCACTATCACCGCACGAAAATAATTGGAGAATTTTGATCGAATTTGAAGATTTTATGACTCTAGTAGACCCATCGAATCGTCTCGATTGCAGGTACACTTGGTTAGGTAGATTCGTCAGAACGATTCACATTTTGTATCGTAGCGAAGCAATGACGAGAACAAGAATACAATGATGGATGAAAGAGAGAGACAGAAACAGAGAGAGAGAGAGAGAGAGAGAGAGACAGAGAGAAAGAGAGAGAGAGAGAGAGAGAAAGAGAGAGAGCGACAGCAGATCGGTGAGCGATTGCAGAATAAAAGATAGAGCGGGAGAAGGTGAGAGGGGAAAAGGGGTATATAACTAGGATATAACGCTATGGTGTGTTCTCTCTCTCTGCAGTCAGTTGCAGTTCCCGTGGGTGGTGGTGGCGGGGTTAGGAGGGTGTTTGATGCCGGTTATCATGTTGACAGACACAGCGAGGTGGACCTAGGTGCACCAAGGGGAGACAATTACAAATCGTTGACGTTTACGCCAACACAAACGAATACATGTCCGCGACGCGTTAGATCGTCTCTTCGTGATCACCCAACGATAGGACGTCTCGTTTTTTTCCTCCAATCATTTTTCCACTTTTCACGAACTAAAAACAATGATCGAAAGTTATAATACAATACCTGTTCGTGCGTGATCGGCAAAATGATTATTATTGAAATCTACCGAAGCGATCTTGTCTTTCGAATGCGAGACAAAGTAACGTAAATTCGAAGAAACGTGCTCGTGGATTCTATCGGTAGAATGAGACAAGAAGGGACTTCTCTCTCGTTCTATACGGACGAGAAGGTAGAAGCGGCGAATTACCAAATGCATATTAGCGCGCGATGGGCCGTTTAAGAGCGCGTAGTCAATCTCTCCGACAGACATTTATGGAGAGGGAATTAATATACCGGACCTTCAACCTCGAGACCTTCGCTAGTGATATATGTACACGCTTGCTCCACCCCCTTCTAAACGTTCGTTTCTCTTCTTTCAGTTTCTTCTTATTTTCTTAATTTTTTATTATTACTTTTTTTATTGTTTCTTTTTTATAATTTTTCTTTTCCTTTTTTTTTTTTTAATTCTTTAAAATTCTTTTCCATTCCTTTTTCTCTTCTTCTACTTTTTCGTCTTCTTCATTTTCTTACTTTCTTACTTTTACTTTTTAACGTCACTTAAGATGAACGATAGTATGAACTAAACGATTTCGTAACTAAACAATTTCTTCTTTTTTTCTCTTTTTTTTTTTTTTTTTCTATCATTTTTGTCACAGGAAAGAGCTTTAGCATCACGATAACCGTTTCGACGAGTCCACCTCAGGTAGCAACCTATACCAGAGCGATCAAGGTGACCGTCGATGGACCGAGAGAGCCACGTTCGAAAACGAGTAAGTAGAAAAGTTTACATAGTTCGCGCGATAACGTGCCGTTACGCGCCACGATCAGATCCATCTAATGGGATGACCGGCTGCTACTAGTCCAGCATCCCCAGAAAATGTACCGATAATTCACGGAAAATCCCTATACGCGGTAATAGCGGCGTCATTACCGAACAGATGGTGCACGATGATGCAGTGACCGAGCTACGTTACTCTTCTGCGTATGCGTGTTTTGGTTTTGCTATTCAACGTACGTCGCCCGGGTACGACAGGATCGACGTTTTTCCGTACGACGAATTTTCTAGTGCAAAAAAAACTCGAATGTTTACGGCGATTAGGGACGAAGAGTTTTTTTCAAAACGAGCTAGTTTCTTTCGGATGTATTTCTCTCTCTCTCTCTCTCTCTCTCTCTCTCTCTCTCTCTCTCTCTCCCTCTCCCTCTCTCTCTTTCTATACCTATACGATGTATCCATGTATCTGTGCATATAAAAAAAGAAAGGGGGATCGTTATTTCGATATCAGATTAATAGCCGCTGCGGAATCGACCGCGGAGTACGGGCAGGTTTTTGCGGACGATTCGCATTTGTTGGATAAAGTATTGATGGGCATAGGGCAATGCGTGCTCGCTGGACTCGCTAGTAATTTTTTTGTTTTTGCTCTTTTTTTTCATTTTTTTTTCTTTTTTTTTTTTTTTTTTTTTTCAAAATGCTCCGTTTGATTGATTCCGCTTATTCGCCAATTTTTCAGTTATCGCTCGGTATTATTTCAAAAGAGATTAGACTAGTACTGCATGTACTACATATGCACCGTGTATAATAATAAATTCGTACTTTAAGATTATCGTTGCTTCACAAAGGATAGAGAATTAATAGTAAAAAAAATTTGTCTTCCTTTCCTTTTTTTTTTTCTTTTTTTTTTCAAAACGATCAATGATCCCACTCGATTCTGGTTCGTATCGTATCGGTCATTTACCCACAATGAATGGAGTTGTATGTACATTGATTAAAAGTGTCGACGTAGGATGCCTCGTAACGAGCCACGTTTACATATCGATGTCCGCTCTTGTCAGAAATTAATATAAAATTAATTAACTTCGATTAAATAATTAAATCCATATCCAAACCGTGAGCGAAAACAATGAACATTTCCATTCCGTGTTTCAAAATAGCGAACTGACGTGCGACAGGTTATACGGATATTCGTGCGACGCAACGCAGGACGAACGAGCGAGCGCGTGCAATGATGTATTTGTCAGAATTCCTCGCTCGGCATTTAACAGTTTACGCTTCATTAGTGACCGCACGGTAAATATATTTTTAAGCTTTACGCAACTTTATAAAAGGGCGTCCGTGGATTTGTATATAAAATTTTCTATATATAAAAAAAAAAAAAAAGAAAAAAAAAACAAAAAAAAGAGGAAAAAAGGAAGAGAGAAACAAAAAGTCATAAAATAAATCTCTCGTCTTATATTAACGCAACGAAATATCAAAGAGTTAAATGAATGGACGAAATGTTGCTTAACAAAATTCAGGATATTATTTTCGAAAATGAAATTACCATATCGTTATCATCCCTTTTGAAAGTGAGCCAATAAAAAAATAAATAAATAACTAAAAAAATAAAAAATAAAGGAACGTAGCCGACCTACTGACACCTTCGAGGAATCATTTGAAAAACAAGAAGAAAAGAAGAAAGACAAAAGAAAAATACAGGAAGAAGAAGAAGAAGAAGAAGAAGAAGAAGAGACCGTAGAGGAATAAGGAAAAGAAGAAGAACAAGAATAAGAAACAAAACAGAAGAATAAAAAAAAGAAGAAAAAGAAGTAGAAGAAAAAGAAAAAGCGTGTCGCGTGGAGAGGCGAAACTAAGCGCGAGCAGCCCTCAGAAAGTTTGGCCACGCACGACGACATATTGCATATATGGGGTTGTCAAGGATAGCGTGTTGTTTGGACAGCACGCACCGTATGGACGATCTATGAGAAAGAAACGTGTATATACATATACATACATATATACATATTTATATTTATATATATATATATTTATATATTTAAAAATATAGATGTATTAGTACAGTATACGTAGAAGCTCGTAGAGGCATCGACGGACCGTCGGGCGAAACACGAGGAGTGAGCCGAGTTTCATTGTCCTCTCTCTTTCCCTCTCACTCACTCTCACTCTGAACGCGGCAACGAGACAATGCTTTGGACGCCCCGCAGACACCTGCCGTTCCTCATTATTACACGGATAATCGCGAGCTTTTTGTTAAGCGAAAATCGTCCTCTCCCTCTCCCTACATCCATAACCTCTTTCCTCCCTCTTTCCACCGTTATCTCTTTCACCCCTCCTCAACCTATAGCACGCCGTCCTCGTTTCACTTCACCGGTAGGCCACCGACGGTAATCGAGCAATTTCTGTAATTCGTCGCTCGGCATCACGTGGAAATGCGAATCGGAGGGGTTGTAATCGTGCGAAATGAGGTCGATCGTGGAGGGATGAAACTACCGAGTCGGTGGAATTATTATCAACATTCCGTACTCTTGCTTTTTAGAAATGTTTAACGAAATTTACCAATGTTCATGGTACTTAATTACTTCGACATTTTCTTCTAACGAATCGAGAGAACAATGACAGAACGAAAATCGAATCGAATCGAGGATTTTTTCAATGTTTAATTAATACATCGATGAATTATGTATATTTCTATATAACGAGAGAGAGAGAGAGAGAAAGAGAGAGAGAGAGAGAGAGAGAGAGAGAGAGAGATAGGTGATCGTAAAACAACAAATGAATTTCCCGTCGGGAGCATCGTGGCGAATCAGCGAGGCGAACTTGTCAAGCGAACTTTTATCGTCCGGCCAAGCTCGCGTCCTCTTTGATCTAGTTCCAGTTCGGATCAAACGTGCGCGTTCGCGAGAGAGGTTCGATCGAACAGCGTAAAGCAGAATAGAGTTCAAATTGATATTTCGAGAAAGAGAAGAGAGGGAGTGAAAGAGAGAAAGAGAAGGAGAGAGAGAGAGAGAAAGAGAGAGTAGAAAGAGAGAGAGAGAGAGAGAGAGAGAGAGAGAGAGAGAGAGAGAGAGGAGGTCGCTCTCGCGAAACAAAGTGGCCGCCAGCCGTCACCCGTGGTCCAAAATCATCGAAATGTTCCCGACCGAAACAATATCGATGGACAGATGCTGTCAGTCAAAGGTCGAAATTGAATTTGCTTCGTTGGTAATTGCTCCGCGTTTGGAATATCGTCGATTAGCATGGGCATATCCCAGGGTCTCTGGGTCCCGCGAAATCATTACTGGCTTTGATAGAAAAGGAATACCCCCGTGATATCTAATTGTCGATGAATTTTCAACGATATCGATCGCTCTATCCCTCCCGACGGTCGGTCGCCGACGTCAAATACACAAAACAAAATAATACAAACAAATACATATCTACAATTTATTTTCCAACTTTCATATATATATATATATGTATATATACTATCAAAAGAAAAAGAAACAAATATAGATATATTGTACATATACGTACATACATACATATGTATAGATATATATATATATATATATATATATACATCTCGTCTGCTGTATATCACGATTCGCTAAATCGTTATATTTCTTGAGAATCTAAAGAAATTCTTGATAGAATAATTTAAATCAAATCTATATTATATAAACGTTAATTATTTATTCCTCTATAATGATAGAATTATCAATACATCTCGTATAGTAACTTTTAACGGGAAGAAAAAGAAATTCGAATCAAGATCCTCGCAATATTCGTCCCAGTCGCAGACCCCTAATGTCAAGAAGGACGTAAGACGCGGAGGAGTGGAGGGGGACCCGTTTATTAGAGAGGAGGAAAAAACCCCGCTATTTCCGTCAACCGGGACTCGCCACACTTTGATTAGATAAGTCCACTACTCGTGCTTTTAGAGATTGGAATTATGCTCTCTTGCTTTCTTTCTCTCTCTTTCGCTCTCTCTCTCTCTCTCTCTTTCGTTCTCTCTCTCTCTCTCTTTTTCTCTCTCTGGTCTCTTAAAAACGAAGAGAACGATTCGTTAGTTCCCATTATCCTCCTCTAGCTCGTAGATACGATACGAACGATAAGTGATAACCGCCTCTGCGACGGGGCGTCGAAGAAAACGCACGGATAAAGTAAAAAGCCTTATCACGCAACGTATCCATTGGCGTGTTCCGATAAGAATTCATGTAACGAGTCCAACCTCCAGGACGTACGAAATCAACGTTAAAATTTCCAACGGGTTTGTTAAATACTATAAGTTAATTCGTACGATGATCGATCATTGTAGAAGAATTAATAAGCGCGTTATGTAAGCAAATAATTTTATTATTATTATTATTATTATTATTATTATTATTATTATTATTATTATTATCATTCATGAATTAATTCGCGAAGATTGAGGCAAGGACACACGATTTATTCGAATAATCTCGTAGTCTTCGATTGATGAACCATCGAGTGTTTAGCCATCTGTGTCTTTGCAACGATTTCGTGTAGTTTGTGGTCAAACTTTATTTATCGTTCATCCTTTCTTTCTTTTCGAAGAGATGTTTCTCTCTCTATCTCTATCTCCCTCTCATTCTCCTCCTTTCTTTCTTTTTTCCTTACCTGACCGAATACAATTTGTCCGATCTTCTTCCTTTTCTTTTTTCATTTTTTCTCTTCTTTTCTTTTCTTTTCTCCAAGCTGTAATCTTTTTATTTTACAAACAACATGAGAACGTGTATCACGTGATCGAGAAAACAGAAAGATTGATAGATATTTCGGAATAGATAGATAGCTAGATAGAGACATACCATAACAGGCAAGTTCTCTATCAAGTTACGGTGATACGAATCCGCTATCCGTCTTTGAGGGTAATCGTTCGATACCGCGCATGCATTGTGGGCTTCGACGATAAACTCGCTTCACTACAATAGCGGATTAACCTATCGGCGATCTACCGCGTAGATGCCGCGATACTTGGATCCGGATTCTGTCGGTTCACGAATGGACGGAATGCGCGGAATGCTATTGAAGTCAATCGAGATACGGACCACTCGAGTTTCTTAATTATCCCACTCTGCGAGCTTAATTACACAAACATCTTCCTCTCTCTCTCTCTTCTCTCTCTCTCTCTCTCTCTCTCTCTCTCTTCTGTTGATACGACCACCCATGATACTTCATTTCGATAATCAGTGATAGATTAATTCGAGCAAAAATACAACGTTTTAAAGCGAATAAGTGTTTTTAATCAACAACGTCGGAATTATTATATGCGATGATTGATAATTAAATCGTACGATTGTTTCAATTGATATTTCTATAAGAAAATGTACCGTATGATAAATCGATCAATTTGATCCTCGTTATTTCAGGACAACAGCATCAACAATTTCGAGCTCTTGGTTTGGGTCAGAGACCATTCTTGGATGCCCCGAGCTCGTTCACCTCCCACCTACGAGAACTGGAGTCGTACAGGAGGAATAAGCATCACCATCATCACAGCAGTCACTTACACGGACAACAGACTGGCAGCAACGTCACCGCGAATTCGGTTAGCGGTGCCTGTTCCAACCCCAACAACACCGACCCAACCGCATCGCCCGCTTCCAGTACAC